GAACTCTATAGAGTAAGTGCTATTATTTGAGAAAGAAAGTGAAGCTCAGAATAACTTGCTCAGGGTCATACAGCTAGTAAGTGGCAAAACCAGGGCCTGAATCCAGCAAAGCTCTTAACTACCTCAGAACACTGCACAGTTCCAGCCCTGCTATACTATAGTCCACGAATGATTTCGATTTCACTAAGTTAGCAGTTTGAATTTCAGCTGAGCAGAGACATTTTAGCTAAAAAGTAAAATTTTTAAAAGGATGAATTAAGAGAATTTCCCACAGACATCTTTATAATAAAACGAGGGGAAAAGCCTCCCATGTCCTATTTATGAAAGTGATATTAAGGTATGGGTCACAATTTCGTCAAGAAGTGGCTTATGACAATACAGCTTTGGTTTAGATATTTAAATAGGACTCTTTCTCTGCCCCTAGGAGGACGTGGAAATGAAGGATGGATGTGATAACTGTCAATTCAGAACTCTGCAAAATGCCAGACTCAATTCTTGTTTTAAGAAGAGCCAGGGCTCTTGTTCCACCCTGGATTCTTCACACAAAACAGCACCATCCTCTGACCTCTTCACATAGAGCAAGCTTTACCCCACTACCCAAAGGGGAGTGCTGATCCACATGGTCTCCCCATCCCCGCTAGAAACTGATTCCAAACACCAGCCGCTGCACAGACGTAGGCTACTTTGGTCTGCAACCCCCGAACTTGGTAATACCTCATCAACCCGACCCCTCCCCAACATTCAAAATGCCCGGACCACCATCCGAAAGCCAGTCTCTTATACAAAGGAGAATTCCTGCCTACAAAGTAGTTTTCCACCTCCGACTCCTCCCCACAGCGAACAGCCCTTCTGGATCCAACTAACCCACCGACCCCAACAGGGCCCAGCACCCACAGGGTTCACAATCCAGAGGAGCTACAAGCCCTGTTACTCGCAAGTCTCGAGCGCCCAACTCCAACTGACCTTCCCTCTGCCAGAGCAAGAACACCACGAGTACCCGCCGAGAGCGAACCTGGCTACACAAAGCCAGGCGCCCGACCAGAAGGACCCTCGGGGATGCCCTCCGCCCCTGGGGCTTCCCCGACCAGCCCCGCCGGGCGCCCCGCGCTCACCAGCTCTCCTCCCCCTCCTCCCAGCCTGACAGACGCTCCAGCTAGTCCAGCAAGCCGCCCTCCCCCCGCCGCCAGCAAGGAGGTGGCGTCCCGCAGCTTCTGGTTACTCTTCCGCCTCGGGTACATACGGCCCCGCCGCACGACTCGGCGCTGAGGCCCAAGGGGAAGCCCCGAGGGGACCCCGCGCCGTAGGAGGGAGTGGAGGCGCTGGCGAACCACCCTGCCGGGCCGATGGAGCCGAGGCCCCGCACAGCGCGAGCGGCTCCTCAGCTGTTCGTGCTGCTTCCCCAGCTTCTTCACCGGCTCCTGCAGCTTCCGCACCTCTTGGTCCGCGTTCACGTTGGAGTTAACGTCCTCCATCCCGGCCCGGCTGCCTCCGTCGCCCGCCGCCCACTCGCTCTCGCAGCAACAGGGAAAGAGCCGGAGGAAAGAGGCGTCCCCGCC